AAAATCACATATCTCAAAATCTTTGTGGGCGATGCCTGTGGACAATATTTTCTGAAACAAAATTCAATTGAAAATTGGTGTCTTCTGCAACATTTTAAGAAAATACGGGAAAATGCACATGTTTATGACGTCACAATTAGCATTTAGAAATGCATATAAGAAACATAATTTGTAGAAAAATTATGCATGGAATTTCAATGATTAAAAATACAAGTGTTTTCATTTTTTTTACATCAGTTTAATTTTTAAGAAAATCACGGGGCAAGATTTGTATTGAAACCATACCTTCTTCTTTACAAGAAACTGCTTAGGTACCCGTTCTTGCCAATTTTATTAAATAGGCTAGTCAAAAACCAGACCAGATGTAACTTCCGTTAACTGTATTAAGAAATTTATATTGTCTCTAAATATTGAAAATGATGTGTATACATCAGATGCATCAAATGGTGCAACAAGATTTGGTGAGAAACTCGCCATCATCAAATTGCACGTGTTTTGGACCTTTTAGCATTTTCCTTACGTGACGTCATTCCTTTTTACGGTTGAGTAATTCTGAACACTGATTTTGGTGCATAGTAACTAAATTTCTCATCTGACCGATTTTCGTAATTTTCGGTCATGCGGTCAATTTTTTTCGTATATTATGCTACCCGGCGTTTTTTTTTTCCTTTCGGTATATATAACCGTGTAGTTTGGGTCTAAGATGTGTCGTTGATACTTAATGAGCTGGGGCAAATATACATTTTTATTACATACTTAATAATAATTACAGGATATTTGCATATGCGATACGGCTGACGTCACAATAGTCGTATCAGTCCTGCAGGGCTGATACGGATCATTATCACACCCCTAGTAAATTCAACCTCAAAAAACAGTACTAGTACTTGTGATCATACACATATATTTTGGGGTTACACAATTCTCTTTATTTTAACTTTGTGAATGTAATGATAATCTAAATGATAAATAATAGATTATTTTTAAATTACTGATTGGGGACATTTGAAATAGAAGTACATGCAGAAACAAACCGAAACTGTATGAGACAATTTTTGACTGTGTACATTTTAAGAAGTCCGTGCATGATTATTTACTCATTTTCTTCTCAACTTAATGTGTTCTGTATTGTATTACTATGTATGTAATAAATATAATAAAACATATCCTTTTCCACATCACATCCCGTATCAGCCTTCGACCAATAGCAGCTCTCGGGCCTTCGGCCCTCTGGCTGGTATTGGTGTCTCAGGCTGATAGAGGATGTGATATGGAAAAGGGTATGTATTATTCTCTATGTATATTGATCATGTTATTCATTCTGTTTCGAACTGTCAAAACATGTATATAAACTGCTGATGAATTAGATCTTTAAATACAATAAAGGGTATGGATGACATCTTATCGATGCAAATGAATATTCTTCGGTCAGCAATCAATAAAATGAATTTGAAAAAAAAAGGTTTTGATGAAACGTTGATTTTTTTCTTCTAATAATGAACATATTGTATGTTTTCTGTCAAATTTAAAGAACTGTATGATGAAGCCTTTTGTGAAATTCCATTTTAAAAGATAAAACTAACGTTTTGAATTTTTTTTAATAAGCAAGATAAAAACGTACATCGCATTTTTCACCTATATGTTGATATTGTCTGAAAACTGTGAAAGTTATAGTGAAGTTCAAATTCTTCTACACGGTTAATTTAGAAGATCATGAAAAAATTCAATTTCTATCACAAGTATTGTTTTTTACATGTATTTAGATTGAATATGGAAATAATATCGGATAATTGGATGAATTGGGGAAAATTAAAAAAAATGTGCATGCATTTGATTTGTTTCTATCAATGTGTTTTCCTGTAATGGTTGGACATTATTAATATTATTTTGACGCAAATTAACGTGAAAAATATTTACGCCTTGGTCAATAAGGACGTTCAGTATTAATACTAAATAATGATTCAAAGTATGATATAGCTTCTAAGTTACGCTTACCGCAAATGAATCCTTGTTTATTACATTGCACGAAGATTCTTCGAAACTGGGCTTAAAGTTTGGGGGGGGGGTATTTAATGGAAAGACGGTATTAAGAAAGGGGATTTGTCAGATTGATAATTAAGGTAATCACATTATTGTTGAACCAGATGCATTCTGCAAATTATTTTATGACATGCTTAAACGTGTTGATTTTGTTTTTATTTTAAGAACTGCTAAAAGTACATCATTGAAATAATTCCATAAACATCATCACAAACTTTTGAATATATTACAAACACACTGAACGATGAAGGCTATGACACAATTTCACAAAACAGCATTATTTTACAGTTATCACAATTTGGTGTTAATGAAACTGTCCTTCATATCCACAATCAAATAGACGACATTGAAATTATATACAGGGTGTCCCAAAACATATTTTACACTTTTAAACCGTTATAAAAATTCCAATCTTCAAGTCACATTAATAAAATTAAAAATATTTAATAAAATTGTTATGAATTTCTTGTCAAGCACACATTTGTTACAATTTCCTTATTAATTATCAACAATTTTTTTTTTAGAATAACTTCATAACATATGACATTTTACAGCATGTTCCAAATTAAATCCCTTGGAATTAATATTATTTGAACACGATTTCTTAAGTTTTTTTACTAAGTTTTATATGTAACATTCTAACAGGTTTTTCCACAATTAAATCGAGTTTCAACAAACACAAGAACGTAAGATTCGCTTCAATAACATTTTGTTAAAATGGAAGTGGGCTTAATCGGAAAACCATGCATCTGTTAAATTTGCAGAGTTTGGTCTATATAATCAAAATCCAATAGGCAAACTCTAAACGACATCTAATTTCTGTCTCTATCAAATGCTGCATTACAATTATCTTGTAAGGAATCAGTTTTAAATCGAATTTGAATATTTTATGAACACTAGATTTACCAATAGTACCATATGCATCTAGTTTAGGCAGTACCCGTCTGTGGGATTTTTATAAAGTTTCAGTGATTACTCTATCAATGAAATTAATGTTCTCTTTGGTACGAGCACTCCTTGGTCTTATTACCAGAATTAAGTCATGTGTCATTTATGGTGCCTTTAACTTTTAACTCCCTCGCAAGTCTGTAAATTAGCATTCTGTTGTGTACTTTCATTGCAGAATTTGCTTTCTCATGGTTCCTATGACCAAAGTAGCAGATTTACACCCATATTAAAGTTTGACAATACTTCTACCATCTGTTCACTTGAAGGTTCAAAATTAAAAATATGATGCCTTCATTTGAACATTGACTTTAAGGTCAGATGACACGTTCCTCAATATTATATAATTTTTTCTAAGAATTTGTCATTGAAGTATAGGTACTCAAACAAGTTTCCTCTTAAAAAAAATTAGGGTACCTTACCAAGCATTTGGCCAGGACACCATAGCGTCATATTTCTTATAAAACCTTTATGGTTAATATTCTAAATAGCTAATGACACAATTTTCGGTGTACTTATAATTAAAAACATTTTGAAAACAATGTTAAAATCAATGTAAAAATCAAAAGATAATGACAAATATGAACAATTTTTTTATATAATACTAAGCGATGCAAGATATATATGAGAGCAACGTATCGTCTGACCTTAATACATTGTACAAATAACGATCAATGTCCTTCATTCTTATTCATTAATTTACAAATTAACTTTTAGAAAATACGTTTTGCTTTTGTTTCCAGATACTGTCAAACAACTTTTATTTCCTACGACTTTATTTCGCGATTTAACAGGTATAAACTAGTTCACGGCGATTTATTTTCGCGATCAAGCCTTTTTCGATCTGTTGTTAAAAGACACATCCACTTTAAGGACCAGTTCGCGGCGAGAAATATTTCTGAATAAAAATTGGTTCACAGTATTTCATAATCTCATAAAGAGGGAGTTGGATAGGATAAAGTAATGTGACCAGGTGTGTTCATTTGTGAGTGCGGTAGTCATGTACAAAAGTAGAAATGAAGAGATTTTCATTGGAATCGATGTCGAATGCTGGTTTGATTTATATAATATGCTCCTTGTCAAGGTCAAGGATTGCTACGGTTTGCTGTGCCTTTGTGTTATTTTTAGTCAGTTTATAAAACCCAGCAAAGAGGAGTATTTTAAAGTGTCTATTCACATCCAATATAATGTTCAGCATCATGACCAGATTTGTCCCTAATTCCGATTTCAGCACCAAAGTCAACAAGTAAACGAAATGTACCACGATTTCTTATTGCGTAGTGGAGGGGTGTACATCCCGCAAGGTTCTGCATATTGATAAGCGTTCTTAGAGAAGATCTTAAGATCTTAGTCTTATTTTTGAGAGGAGAAATGTCGAATAAATCCTCATTTTCCATTAAGAAAATTCGGGATAAATCTTCATTTTCCATTAAACACATATAATGTAAAATGCTATTTCCAATGACATCCTTCAATGAAAAAATATCTGTTGCAAAACTAATAAATTCCAAAAATGATAAACCTTTTAATATTGGATTATCAGAACAAAACAGAAGCGGCCATATCTCCAAGGGGGATAAAACTGTTAAATTTCTAATATATCTCACTTTATCAATTATTGTTTTCTCCTCTAACCAATTGTGGTCGCTTGTCATACAGTTTTCTGGAGATAGACATGGTACTGTGCTTGTATGAAGGTTCCATAATTCATCTGGAAGATCAACAAGAATAATGCTGTATATTTCAAGGTACTTTCTGCTATTTAAAGCATTTTCCATTATTTTATTGTATACACTATGGGTTCTCAGCAACTTCGGTACCATTCTATAGTCACTCCCATTTAAATTATCCAGTAAACCAGGATACTTTTTGAACAGTATTGATACAGTATCCTTTCTACCGTTTATATTTGCCATGCGAAGACATTCAATTCTCACTGCTTCGGGCAAGTCTTCTTTCAAAAGTAATTTTATAATGTCTTGCAACCCATGTTCAATTGCGTAAAATAAGGGCATATGTCCTTCGTTGACTAACACTTTAGTAAAATTCTCCTTAGAGAGAAGAACATTAGCCCATTGTGTATTTTTTCCAATATTGCTATGTGCAGAAGTGACTGTCCATCACTACTTCGGTACGTAAGGACATCACTGTACCTGTCCAAAATTTGGCAAATATTCGATTTACACTGGACAGATTGTAACAAATGCAAAAAATTCATATCAAGTATGTGAACACCTTCTTTTAGAATTTCGTCCGATATATGATAGTAGCCGTTTGCAACTGAAACCGTTAGAGGATTAACCCCACCTTTGGAATGCATTTTGACATCTGCATTAGACTTTAACAGTTCCTTAACAATATCTATATCGCCACTGTAACAAGAAATGTGAAGTGGTGTTAAACCTTGGTGGTCCTGTTGATTCACATTTGCCCCATTAGAAATTAAACAAGAAAGTATATCAATATCGTTGTTCTGTGCAGCGATATGTAGCGATATAGATCCGGTCTTGTCTGCAATATTCACATTTGCTCCTTTTTGTATAAGTAACATCAAAACCTTTAAATTTCCATTGATGCAAGCCATATGTAAAGGTGTTTGTCCATCTTTGTCCACCAAATTTACAACTGCATTGTTTTTCAAAAGCATTTCGATGACCTTTGAAAAATTCCCAAAAAAAGCAATAGGTAAGGGAGTTAAATCATCTTTGTCAGCGATGTTTATATCGATATCAGTTTGTATAAGTATATCGACTATCCTTTCAATTTTCTCAATTAATCTTGCGTTACACTGACAGTATTCTATATATCTGGTAATATCCGATGTATTAATTGTAATAACATTTGGTGCAGAATTCTGTTGACAGTAAGTTAAGTCATGCTGTTGAACGTACGTTAACTCTTTCAGTTCCTCAAGGAAACAACTGTCATTTCCTCTTGCGTCGTGTGTAAAAAATCGTTCAGTGATTGGATTTCGACATACGTAATGTAGAGCTGTTTTATTTTCGTTATCTAATGCATTTATATCTGCCCCATGTTTTGTAAGAATTGAGATGCATTCTTCTGATAAATTTTCTGAAGCAATATGCAAAGAAGTTCGATTTTCTTTTGTAAGAATGTTTGGACACGCTCCTTTGGAGAGCAGATAATGAAGAAGTTCTGGGTTGTTATACGCACAACTGATATGTAGTGCTGTCAAACCAATCTCATTCCTATAATTTATATCCAGTCCTTGTTCCAATAACATAGAAACGACATCTTTATTTCCAGTTTGCCAAGATTTCAAAAGTAAATTCTGTTGATGTTGTATATTAATACCTTTTTCTAGTAACGACTTGATGGTATCGCAATTTCCAAGAGAACATGCTAACGATAAAAGAGTTTCACCGTCATTAGCAATTAAGTTAATGTCGCAACCTTTTTCAATTAGGAATTGAGTCATTCTTTTCTGCTCAGAAAAAATAGATGAATGTAAAGCTGTCCATCCAAGGTTGTCTTGTAAATTGAAATTTGCCCCAAGAGTAATCAAAAGATCTGCAGCTTCCAATGAACCATTTCGGCATGCTAGGTAGAATGGTGTCTCACCATTGTTATCTTTGATATCTACTTCAGCTCCAAAGTCATGTAATAATTTAATTACATTAACATGATTATTCCGACATGCTTCATGGAGTACAGAAATACCGACTTCATTCTGAAAATTCACGGATGCCCCTTTTGATAGTAAGTAATGAGTAAGATCACAATGCCCATAAAAACTGCTAACCATTAAAGGTGAAACCATTTCATCCATTAAATGAACATTTGAGGTAAGATCTTCCTGAGAGCAGACTTTCTTTTGGATAAGGAATTCCAATATTTCTATTTTTCCCGTTATACAAACTAGAATTGGCAATGGGATTCGTGCAATTGGACAATGATCTTCGTGGATTTTGCTTTCTTTACTAAAGTCACAATACAAACAATTATCATCTGAAAACATTTCTTCCATAAGATAGTGAACATTTTCATAAATTTGAATATAGTAATCAAAGCACCGTTGAACTATTTCAATATTTTCACTAAGAATAGCCAAGTATATTGAACATGCCTTTTGATCAAATAATGTTTGAAAGAGAGTCTCATTTTCCATTTGGAACAGATATTCAAAAAATGTTGACCAGTTGTATGCAATAATTAAATGATGAAATGAAATTCGGTTATTTCCTAATAGAGCTTTCTTCGAAAATGAATTCATAGAGTCTATTGTACCTGATGACAAGCTTCGGCCTGTTTTCGTTAGTGCTTTATCCAAGACATGTCTATCTTCTAACAAAGAATACAGACAAGATTCAATCTGTGCTTTTGGCAGAGTTGGGTTTTCAAAAACTTCAAGAACTATCCCTTGTTCTAAATCTTTCTGTATTCTTTCTACATAAGATGTCAAGGTACTTTCGTCCAATTCTACTAGGAACAAATCTTCATTATCATCACATTCTAATCTTCCAAAAGGTCTAAGCCTATTTTGAAATATTTCTAATGGTGAATGATGTATCAATGTTTCCGGTGATTGTTTTCCAAAGTGCCAAACTATTATATCAAGCAGTTTTGTATGTATTACAGAAAATATTTGACCTATTTGTTTGATATACTTTCCAACAAGTCTGTTGACGGCTGATAATAATTCTGAGGGATTGAGATCTACTTCACAAGCATTGTGAATTTGTTCAAGGCACCCAAAGTCTTCAGAGTTTTCCTTTCCAGATAGATATAAAGCAAGTTTGTCTTCTGAAAGGGAACAACAAACTAGAGAGCAATATTCGTAAATGCTTTCTGGTTTGGGATCGTCTATCATCAAGTCAAACTTCGAAACCAACTGAATGAAAGGATTATCAAAAAAAGTTACCAAACGATCTGGATCAGCCCAAGCATTTACATACAGCTTACAAAGCAACGGGAAGCAATCAATATGCTTTTCAAACAATTGCTTTGGTAAATCTAGTTCGCTCTGAACATGAGCTTCCAAAATTTGTTTTTTCTCAATAAATGATAAATGATTTTCTTGGTTTTCTAAATTGAATATAAAATTTGAAAATATTTTAATCTTTCTAAATGTGCGAACTGAGCTCAATGCTAACCGACAGGAAACAAGAAGTTTTGCCTTTACTTGTCTTTCCCTTCCTTTGAAATTTAGACATTTTTTAATATCTTCAGAGTACTTAGCCCATTCATAAACATGTTCATTAACTGTATATTCACCACATGGATCATCGGTAACAAAGACTTGAGGATTTTTTCTGTTGTGATAAGTCGTGATCTCACCAGGGCGATGAATAGGTATAACTGAAAAACCTTCTTTTCTCATTTTAAGAGCGATGTGATGAATGATGGCTGACTTTCCTGATCCTGGATGACCGACCACCACAACACATGGGTGTTCTTTAATGAATTTTTCAACAGCTGTGGATGATTTCGTTTCTACAAATACTTGATCCTCTTCTTCCCAGGACTCCAGTTTCTCCTCAATTAATTCTATATGAGTAAAATCAGGAAAGTAAATAAAGATATTTGCTGCACAGATTAGTATATCATTATACCGATATATATGTTTTAACGTTGTTTAAATCAACAGTTCTTGTGTAATTTAATTTAAGTATATCATTAAGGGAGTTAACAAGATTCCAGTTCCTCAAGGCTAGGACTATATTTCCCGAGGTGAAACCGGGGAACATAGTCCTGGCCTAGGGGAAGTGCCTTGAAAAATGCAGAAATTATCCCACCCAAATACTATAAAATTGAAACAATTGCTTTCAGATAATTTAAACTCGAGTATATAGTGTTATCTACTTGCGTAAAAATTCGCATTATGACTTGTTATGGGCCCGTATGATATATGCAAACTCTAAACAGTTTTAACTTTTAAATAAGCTTGATTAAAATGTTACATATTAAATTAGTATTCTAATGCAATTGTTTTGTAAAACACTTTTTGATTGGCTAAACGCAACCTTTAGATGATTCAAATAGGGTGATTTCAAAGCAGTGATTAGCTCATTGAACAAACACAAGGGAATTAGTCCACTCACATATCATACCAATGTATAAGTAAAATCTAAATGATTACTCGTACTTCAATTACGATAATTGGGAATTAGCCTTACAAGCAGGAATTAGCTCACTTGACTTGACGCACAGGGATATTTATAGTCCATTCATACCGATTTCTAGGGTTTTGGTGAGATCTAATGATCTATTGTTATGTAAGGAAAATCTGTAGAGGTTTAATAATAGATTTTATTTGATCTTTACATTTACAACCTTTTTTTTACTATAAATACAATTACTTTAAAATACAATTAACTGGAATTATCATACCTCTGCTGATTTTTTTCCTATATAAAAGTTAGTTAGTACAATGTGAATATTTCCCCAGAAATCTCTGTGAATTGGCTGATCCCCATGCGTTAGTCAAATGAGCTAATCCCTGCTTCGGAAGCTAATACCCCATTTTTCAGTAAGTCTATATTTTATTATGTCGGTCCAAAAGTTAATGGACTAATCCTGCATGCGTAAGTTCGGAAGCTAATTCCCTGTCATTTGTAACTCTCTACTTTTTTCACTTTTGTATCGGTATAATAAAACAGTTAAAATACATATATCATTGAGGGGGTCAGCAAAATCAAAGTTCCCTCGTCCAGGAGTATTTCCCGAGACGCAGCCTCGGGAAATAGTCCTGGTCGAGGGGAACTGTAATCTAACTGTCTCAATGATATACTTTAACTGTAAAATATTTGTAGATCTCTAATCATTAATATATACATGTACCTTTGGCGTTTCTACAGATAACATTGATCATTTAAGATTTTTGAAAGTAGTTACCCAATGTTTGCAATGAGTAAAAGGATATTTTAAAATCTTATTAGGCATGCAGTTTAGACAAAACTTCAGCAAAGATTTGCTTATTATATAGAATTTTATTTATCTGTTCATCATAAGAAATCATTATTTTTATTAAAAAAAAATTTGATATCAAATGTAAAATCCAAGAGTTACAAACCAATGTTACTTTAAATGTGCATAGCCATGGATTTGATGTTAATTAAAAAATATCTGTATAATTCCATAACTTATATGTTTTCCTACAATTCATACGACATTATTATAAAAATCTTATTCATTCTCAAATTTTTTGAAACTACAAATTTCTAGACGCATTTGATTGACACATCCTTACATCTTCACAATTTTTATCTTTAACTTAAGTTATAGAATTTTACAGAAAATTTTAGAAAATATCAACATTGAATTTGTGTCTTATCAGCTTTATGAATGAGAAATGATTGAGTTTTTCTTAATATATCCAAGTGGTATACAAAGATTACCTCTAACATTCCAGGGTATCGTTTCTAACCGTTCCAATCTCAGCCGTCTTATTTCCAGTAAATGCTCTAAAAGAAGTTCTCTCTCAGAGTCATCGATTGAGGTCACCCTTAAAGTTTGAGCTTCATTTAGTAATGCAGAACCTCCAAGTCTTCCAATAGCCTAAAATAATTGATATATATTGTGGATTATTCAACTGTATTGGAAAATAAATTAATATTGATATGCTAAAGAGGTATTTGTAAATTAATCATTAATCAAATTATGGCATGAGCTCTTTATTTTTTCCATTGATTATGCATATGTTGTTTAAACTAAAATGTTGTAGACAAACAGAACATTTAGTTTTTTTTTAAATTCTCACTTTTCTTTGTATTTTGCTATGGTTAATTGAACTCATTCATGGTAACTTCCTACTTACTTGAACCCCTGTCCATAAAATCTCTTTTAGGGAATGTAACTCACAATTTGGTAAATTTCAGAAGAACCATTGGAATTGAGGTATGGAAACACGAACTTTTAGGGTATGGAACGGTAATCATATCCCTCCTATATCAATCAGTTTCTACATAGACTATAGAATGACAAAAGAATTTTTTCTTACCCCTTCAATGTCGTTCCAGCTAGTATTAAATTCATTTGTGGTCATTCTTGCACCTGACGAATGGGCCACTGTGTTTCTGTAGAACTTAATTCTTGCTAAGTCAGCCCCAGTACTAACATCTGATGAATTGGGTAGAACATCGAATCCTCCTGCTGGTGCTGGTGTAGAGGGACTCATGTTACGTAAAAGGCAGATTAATAGTGTAACATCAAAGTCCTTTGACACAGGATTGTTAACTAAATCAATTGAAAATGAAATTTGGAAATTTAAAGAGAGAGAAAGATCTTAATCTTGTATCATTAAGTTTTAAGTGTTAAACTGAAACAGTTTGATCAAAGATCTTTACAATCATTTTCTGTAGAAAAAAATGAAATTGTTACAATTGCAGATGCAGGGACGGGATATAATCTCCCGATTTGCTGTATACTCTGATCCCCTTCTTTATTTGCTTACTTACTCGTATTAATAAAATTACTGAACATAAAATATTATCTTTGAAGTAGTGAAGTTGTTTGATATTGAAAGGAACATGTTTAAACACTTTCTTACACATTTTTACAATATACCTCCAAAAAGTGTGTCCCACTGAACCTGGTTTATTATTTTTCTTGATTTCAAGCGTAACAGAGTAGGTCTTTGTGTTGTTAGGACAGAAACAAGGTTATTTGGAGGATGCACTGTATCAAAATGGACCCTCAGGGCCTTTGGTGCTCTCTTCAGGACCAGATTGACGAATCGTAGAAAATTAGTTTCCTCTGGTGACACAGTAGCTGGGGGTCCAGTAGCTAAACTTGCTCTAGCCGGAGGTACATTAGAAGGTGAAGCCATGATGTAATTCAGTTTTTTTAGGTTGTTGAATATTCACACATTGTCATAGCTTATGCTGATATTGAGGAATACTCACACTGAAATATATTTTCTTCTGAAAAAAAGAGAACAAAGGTAATTATAATTTTACAAATGCATAATGCAACGTTAAGCCTTCTCCAAATGTATCATATATATTTTCTTTAATTCTTGAAAGTCGCCTGCATGGCGAAGTGATGGTAGAGGTCTGCTTTAGAGTTTCGGATTAAGCATATTTCAATGATAGCAAGCTATCTGAAAATGTAAAGTTACTGAATCCCGTGGACAAAAACAATCTGAAAAAATGAAACGTGAACCAGTGTATTGTGACACCTACTACTCTCGGGAGTTTTCGTTCGATGAACAACTATTGAGGAAAATGCACAAGGTATCCGAAGATATTGAATATGATAAAGGACATGGCGACGACAGGGACATATGTGAAGATGTTTTGCCCTGTCACGGGATGATCTAAAACCAATCAAATTACACGTCGTATAGAATAATTATAATAAGGTATAGTAATATAAGTTGTCAAAGAAAAATAAATAAATATTCATATATGTCAAACAATGGCTAGCATAATTGTGTTTACAATGCTACGTGATTATCCCATTGTCTTTTTTATGTACACAAAATGTGAATTCAGAGAAAGAAACTACTTTCAGCCATTTAGCCGGGTTATATTCCTCAGGCGTTTGGGGGATATGAGAAATATCGTTGATGATGGAAGAATTGGCCCGAAGTCCAGGATAAATGAAAGTACTTGTAAATTATCAGACAGTTTAAATCGCGATCGTTTATTTATAAATTGAAAGAAGTAAGGTAACTTTGTTGATAAAGATGGGTGAAGACACGACTGCTGTTTTTCACCTGAATACAGTCAGCCTACACTTTACAAAGCTAAATTTTCTGAAAAGAGTATATTGTCTATTTCATTAAATGTTGCAGCATTCCATCTTTATCTGAGAACAATCTTTTTAAGCAAGAAAAATTTTATAAAATATTTGTGATATTCAAGTTCAGTAAATTTGGTTTTAAAAATCTCAATTGTTTTTATTTGCATAGGTATTATAAGCATAAAAAATAATGTCATACCAATTATATTTAAATATGCATAATTTCCCCCTTCCTTAAGACTGGTAATGTCTTATGTTTCGTCAAACATGCACAAAACACATAAACCAAGCAGACAAAAACTTGTTTGGCATACAACAGCTAGATAAATACCGACTTCTTTATTCTCTCTCTCTCTCTCTCTCTCTTTCTCTCTCTCTCTCTCTCTCTCTTGAAAAGCTTGTTTATTTTTTAAATGGAGTGTCATTTAAGCAAAACATTTCAGTTACATTTATAACAGCTCTTTGTTTTTTCCGAATACACTTATAAGTCGTGACAACGTAAATCACATGTACAAATAATGCCCTTCTTATACAGTTCTTTTTAACATTACCACTTATGCTAACCTACTTTTTTCATGCATTATTTTTATATCTCGGTACTCTATGATATGAAAACTCATTGCGTTTTGTTTTAATTCAAAACTAGATAAATTTACCTCCTCATTATTATTTTCATTCGAAATTCCACTCGATTTCACTCGAACGAATGAAGTTCTAAAAGTAAGAAGTTATAAAAGTCATACATATACAGGTTGTCCCAAAACATATGTTACACTTTTAATCACCTATAACTTTATCAAATTAAAAGCATTCAAGAAATATATTTTGTCAACTTATAATGTATTAGCATACATTTTATCTGACAAACTTTCGAGAACTTTCTATTCAAGAGTCAGGTAATTATGATGTCCTAATGATGTCATCATATTTTGATATGGAACCTTCATGTGAAGAGCTGGTAGATATTGTAAATTTTTACTATCGGTCTAAAATTGTTACTTTAGTCATAAGTACCATAAGAAAACAACATCTTGTTATGAAAGTCCTCAACGGAATACTAATTTACATGTTTATAAAGGTATTTAAAGTTAAACTGTTGGAATATATGTTATATTTACAGCTTGATAAATAAAAACTTCAGGAATTGTGTTCAAATAATTTCAATTCAATGGACGTCATATGGAACTTGTTGTAAAATGACATATGTTATTCTAAAGAAAAAATATAGATGATTAATAAGGAAATTTTGGCAACTGTATGCTTCACAAAAAAAATTATAACAATGTTAATATACATTTTAAATTTCATTATTGTAACTTGAGGCATAAAATTTTTATGATGGTTTAAAAGTGTAACATATGTTTTGGGACACCCTGTACATGTATAGAGTACATGCAAAGAGTATGTGTGTGTAGTATCAATGATATTGAAGACGTTTGGATTACTCAAGTAATAGTTATTTTTGATCACATTTTTTTCTTGACATTGCTTAATTTTGACATATTTTTCAATGGCAGTTTTTTATGGTGTAAATTCAGTAACAAGGTTAGTTTGCTTTTAATCCTCTCTACAGAATTGTCTGATAACATCCTTCACATGGTCCCTATCACCGAATAATGGGTACATTTGTAACAAGAACTCTCTCTGTATGTTTTCATATGTGCCTAAAATATACATTGCAAATTATCACGCAAGCTAATCGATTGATTGATTGATTGATTGATTGATTGTATGCTGTTTAACGTCCCTCTTGAGAATTTTTCACTCATATGGAGACGCCACCACTTGCCGGTGGAGGGCTACAAATTTTGTCCTATGCTCGGCACTCAGGGCCTTTGAGCAGTGAGGGATCTTTTTCGTGCCAGCACCTACTGCGACACGGGGCCTCATCCGAAAGACCGGTCTTCACGTCCCACAGTGGGATTCGAACCCGCGACGTAAGGATTGACTCCTTACTTCGCGACTCTAGAGCAGACACCGCAAGCTAATCGAAAAGAAGATGTTGCAAAAATGATATTAAAGTTTATTATTATATTAAGAATTGGAAAAAGTTTGACCATGTTAGAAGAACCCTTGATTTCTACTTTTACTCCAAGGTAAATTCATCTTTTCTCTGAGCTGCATAGAGAAAGGGCGACTGATCCAGTTCCAT